TGTCACAAATTTTTATAATAATTCTTTTTAAAAATGTAATAATTCTTAACTCACAGGCTTTAACAAAATAGGTACTGTAGTTTGTTGATATATGGTGTAGATTAAAAACTATGTTAAACTAACATCAAAAATAGCCATTATTAAAATTATGGTGTATATTCTTTAACATGTTTTATGTGCCTATTTTCATGAAAATTGGATTACATTATATGTACTATTTTGTGACTTTTTTCCCTTTACTAATTCACTAATATTTTTCTATGTCAAAATTGGATTCATGGAATACTGTATAAATATGATATAGATATATCAATATTTATTCAACCAATCATTTCTTCTAAACATTTAGGATGTTTCCTATTTTTATTTGTAGATAATTCTCCAACCACTATCTTAGAAAAAAGTCCTAGAAGTGGATTTTCTACATCAAAAGATATATATTTTAAAGTCATCCAATAAATATTCTCTGATAACCTTCCAGAAAATTTATACTGATTTACACATTTCTATCAGCAGTATGAAAATACCTGCTTCCTTAATCCTCAACAATGGGAATCGTGATTTCTTTTCACCAATCTGGTAAATAAAAATGGTACTTGTTGCCTTAATTTTAATTTCTTTGATAGCTAGGTTATATATTTCTAATAATTGCATTTATTCTTCGGCAAATTTCTTGTTCAAGTGTGAATTAGTATCTAGTTGCTGCATTAACAAATTACCTCAAATTCAGAGTCTTAAAACCACACAAATTTATTGGTGGTAGAGATTATAAATCCAAGAGGAGTCTTACGGGGCTAATGTCAGGATGCTGGCAGGGGTGTTTCATTTTGGGGTCTCTGAAAGGAAAACCCTTGCCTTTTCAGCATTTAGAGGCCCTTGCATTCCTTGGCTCATGAACATTTCCTTGTATCACTCAAACGTCTAGATTCTATTCTCCAGCCTTCCAGCTCTCACTCTGACCTCCTTCACCTCTATGGTAAGGACACTTACTTGACATCAGGCCAGCCTGGATGATCCAGGATGCTCTTCCCATTGCAAGCTGTACTGGTGATTAAACTCAGGGGTGAACTGGTGACTGCGCTCAGCTCTACCACTGACCGACATCATCCCCAGCCCTTTTGATTTTATTTTTTATTTTAAGACAAGGTCTCACTAAATTTTCCAGCTGGGCTTGAACTTGTGATCCTCCGGCCTCAGCTTCCCACAGTGTTGGGATTATAAACATGCACCACCACACTGGGCTTCTTCAGGCAGCCATTGTTAAGCTTACACAGTGGGTCCTTTTTCAATTGTTTCTTAGCGTGGTCATCACTTTCTTATTTTTCCTTGAGTGCATCAGAGATATTTTTACTACCATAGTGGAGGCTATAGTGCACTGCCCAGATCTCCCCTTTGGGACCAGGTAGGTACTCTCCTAGCTGGTGCGAGTGTTGGCTACCAGTAGCTCACAGATGAGTCTCTTCCCAGAAACTGCTCTGGGCTGAAGGAGCTAGTCTGCCCTTGGCCGTGCTCCCTGCCTGGAAGGCCTGGCCTGCCTCAGGACAGCCCCACTGGTCCCTGTAGAATTGGCTGTGGCTCCTCCAGCAGCTGCCTTGATACTCAACTTCTCCCTCTGTACAGTCCAGCTCCTCTCACTCCCTTACCAGTGTTATCCCTAACAGGCCTTGCCAGCAAAACTTCTTGCATGTGAATGTCAGCGTCTCAGTTTTCCAAGGAACTCAAGCTAAGGAGCCTGCTTCAGAAATAGTGCTGAGAAGTGGAATCTAATGGGTTTTAGAGCCAGCACTAAGAATCCTGCCATTGGTGGTAGGTGGAGCATGCACAGCCACGGCATACTGAAGCAGTGAGTGTTAAAACTGTAACCAAGGCCACCTGGACTGGACTATGGCCAGGGAGAGGTCTGAGGGAAGCAGCAATTATAAGGAATCAAGAATCAGATGGCCATGGCTGGGTACAATTGAAGTGCTGGCAGTGGTGACCCACTCTTCCCTAATGCAGGCTACTAATATCTCCTGGCTCAAAGAAGATGCAAACACTGTGCCTACTCCCAAGGTTTGTCCCCTTCTCACCTTTCCTGACTGCCAGAGTCAAGCCACAGACCAGAGAAACCAAAACAGGGCTTACAGAAAGCCAACAGGTGATTCACACAAAAGCTGCAGGGTCCAGCAAACATGCAGCAATGAGCCAAGAGGTGATACCTGTACTTGGATTCTGAGATGAAGCATAAAGTTGATGAAGGCCACATTTATCATGATAGAAGAAGCCTCTTGCCATACAGGGTAAAATACCCATAAGCATCCCAGAAGGTGTTGGCAAATGGCTCTTACACTAACTGGAGGAGAAATGCCAGAATTTGGGGGATAACAGCCAACGATGGAATCACAAAGCTCATGAAAGTGTGCAGAGTAGAGAGGATACAGCACCCAGCCAGGAGACCATGTCAGGTGTGGCTAGGTAGGCATAGATCAGGAGCTCCAGCACTGTGTGAAGACAGTGCTAGCTCTCCTCCGTGGGCCATGCTGATAGTAAAAAGCACTGTCACAGAACTGGCCTTCCTGACAGAAGTGGGGAAGACTGAAGCCCAAATAATAAGAGGTCAGACAGCAGTTGGTGGGCCAGGTCCATTTAGGGCTACACAGATGTTCAGGAGAACACAGTGTTCCTCAGGGAAGGAGAGATGAACAGCATTACTAATTTGCACAATCAAAAACTGAAAACTGGCAGTGGATGATCAAAGCTGAGTTGGTGGCATGTACCTGTAGTCCCAGGTACTGGGGAGGCTGAGCCAGGAGGGTCACCTGAGCTCAGGAGTTCAAGGCCAGTGTGGACAATATAGCAAGATCTTATCTCAAAAAAAAAAAAAAAAGATAGGAAGGAAGGACCTGAGCTCAGGAGTTCAAGGCCAGTGGGGACAACATAGCAAGATCTTATCTCAAAAAAAAAAAAAAAAGATAGGAAGGAAGGACCTGAGCTCAGGAGTTCAAGGCCAGTGGGGACAACATAGCAAGATCTTATCTCAAAAAAAAAAAAAAAAGATAGGAAGGAAGGACCTGAGCTCAGGAGTTCAAGGCCAGTGGGGACAACATAGCAAGATCTTATCTCAAAAAAAAAAAAAAAAGATAGGAAGGAAGGACCTGAGCTCAGGAGTTCAAGGCCAGTGGGGACAACATAGCAAGATCTTATCTCAAAAAAAAAAAAAAAAGATAGGAAGGAAGGACCTGAGCTCAGGAGTTCAAGGCCAGTGGGGACAACATAGCAAGATCTTATCTCAAAAAAAAAAAAAAAAAAAAAGGAAGGAAGAAAAAAAGAAAAGAGGAGATGATCAGGAGGCTGAAGACAGATGTCCACTAAAAAATGTCATGAGCCTTTGTCAAGTTTATGGGACACACCAGGAACCTAAATACTTTATATAGGTAACCATAACCTTAGAAAGGAGAAACACCAGACTTTTTAGGGATTGTTAAATTCAGGATCTGAGATGGTATTGATACTGGGACACCAACCAGCACCATGATGCCCCCCACACACTTAAAATGGATTTATACACAGCCCCAGTAGTAGCTGGCCTGGGTAGACCCTCTGGCCTGGGTCCAGGTCATAATGAGTCTTTAAGGTCCACAGCCACCTGCCCCAGTTCCCAAATGCATGATTGGAAAGGCCATGCTTGAGAGTTGGCAAACACCCACATTGATTCTTTCGCCTGTGGAATAAAAGCAATCATGGTGAAGAAAGCCAAGTGGAAATTTCTGGAACTGCTTCTCCCACCTCCTTAGTCAAGATCCCAAGTCAACAACAATATGGCACCCTGCTAGGGGTGGGAAGAAACAGGCAGGAAGATTCAAAGAATAAAAGGCCAGCGATCTCCATCATATTTGCATTTAATTCCCCAGCCTAGCCCCTTAAAATCAGATAAATCCTGGTGGGTGACAGTGAACTAATGCAAACTCAACCAAGTAGCACTCCCTTTATACTCCTAATGCCAGAGTATATATCTGCTAGACTTGGTTAATAAGGCCTCAGGTACATGGCAGGGGGACATCAAACTGGGAAATCCATTGTTTTCCATCCCATGAGGAAGGAGCTGTCTGCACTAACGTCAGTACGCATTTATGGTCCTTGTCCAGGACTATGTTAATTCCTTCATTCTTTGTTAGAGTCCAAAGAGACTTGGACTATCTGGGCATTGAACAGAATATTAGTGGTCTTTATCTCAATGACTTCATGTTAGTTGGGCCAGCTGAGCAAGAAAGGGCAAAATATACTTGTCATGAAACCCAGAAGGAACTGGACAAAGTCCTCAAAGATTTGCAGGCCTACCACTATGTCAGTGAAGAGTTTGGGAAGTCAATGGTCTGAAACAGGCTGAAATAGTCTCTCTCCAAAGGAAAGAACTAATTCTGCATCTTGCACTTCCCAACACTAAGAAGGCCTCTTTAGGTTCCAAAAGCAGCATATTTCACACTTGAGAATACTGCTCTGACCCATTTGCTGACAGGCACAGAATGCTACCAGCTGTGAGTAGATCCCAGGGCAGAAAAGCTCTCTGTAACAGGTCCAGGCCGGGGCCCAAGCAGGCCCAACAACTCAGCCATATGACCCAGCAGACCCCACAGTACTAGAGGGACCTGGTAGGAGAAAAACACCATGTGGAGTTTGTGTTAAGCCTGAATAGGAGAATCACAACACAGACCCTAGGGTTCTGGAGCGAGGCCACACCATCTGCAGCAGAGAACAATGTGCCATTCGGAAGCAGCACTTCATGTGCTCCCAAGCCCTGGTGGAGACGGAGTGTCACCTCCCACTCAACAGAGCTGCTCAAACTTCTTGCACTGCTGAGCATCCAACCTGACGGCAATGCAGACCAAACCTGACCTCCCATATGGCTCAACCTTGAGGCATCCAACCGGCCTCCTGCAGACAGTAGATTCCATCAAACACCTCAATCTCAGAAAGTGGAGTCATGCAGCTTGGCTGTAATGGACACACAGATATGGGTTTACCTGTCCCATCCCTGGAGCCCTTGCTAGGCCAGTATCTGACGGCTTACAGAATGTTTAACTTACTATGTAACATCACCTCAAACCAAGACACCTACATCACAGCAGAGGGGTGTGGCAGTGGACACGTGACTATAGGGTCCACTAGTCCTGTCACAGACTGAATCACCCAGAAGGTCTCACCCTGCCACAGTGGTAAAAAGCCCTTTTTTGAGACTCAGAGGCCAGCTTAGAGATAACTCCAATAGGAGGGGGACTACAATCCAGGATAGAACCTAACAAACCTAAAGGAAAACAAAATGAACTATTATTGTATTCTGCTGTGTCCTCACAGGTATACATGTAGGCCTGGGACTCACCGCCAGAGGCAGAAACGGCTGGCCCCACCTGGCTCTCTTGCAGTGACCTACATGGAGAAAAAGTGTTTCTGATCCAGGCAACTTCAGGCACAGGGTCTAGAGCAGCTTTGTCCCAAAAGAACTCACTGTGACCACAGAACACTCCTGTTACCACACTGTCCAATACAGGAGCTACAGTCACACATAGCTACTGAGTACCTGAAATGTGGCTAGTGGAGCCGAAGAACTTAGTATTTATTTAATTGAAATTTAGAGTTACTCATGGCTAGTAGCTACTGTGCCAGCCAGCACAAGTCAAGGTTCTGATTCCAAGAGAGAACACTTTCAATATGGGATAACAGTAGGAGTCCCATTAAAATTTAATGACTACTTGATCACTTCATACCCACTGTGCCATGATCCCAGCAGGCTAGGGGAGGAGCCTCCCCTGGGGTAGGGCTGCTCTTTTGGGAGTGGGAAGATAGTGTGTTTGGTGCAGCAGACATGGTCTGCAAAGAACATGGGGCTTCACGGACCAGGAGCTCAGAGCCCTCGTTCTATCCAGCAAGGCATCTTGGTCAGCAGAGATGCTGAGGCCTACAGCACAGAAAACAGAGGAGAGAGCATGAGCACTTGATGTCCCCCATGACCAGCTACAGAGGCAAGGGCTATAGTTTGCCTTACTAACTTCCTCTTATAAGTTTCCAGGAAGAGACCACAGGAATATTCCCGTGGAGTGAACTTACTACGTGAAGGAAATGCATATATTTTGCAAGGGGTAGACGCTGCACTGCACTGCCCAGATGCCTCCCTGAGGAGCCAAGCTGCTGTTGCCTCACAGCCAGCCCTCATCAGGAACTGCCCTCAGCCAAGAGAGCTCTGCCCAAGTTTGCCTCTCTCCCAGGGGATAGCCCAGATGCAGTAACTATTTGACCTAGGGTGTCTAGACCTGGCGCCGTTGCCTTAATTCAGGACACATCAGAGTGGTTCTCTTGGGCTAGGATTCCCTATGACATCCACTGAGACCTTTTGCAGTTACATGAAGTGTGACAACCCCACTTCGTAGCCTGCTTCATCCTGCCTCCCTCTTTTCCTCAGGTGGTGTGCCAAGAGCGCCCCTGCCACGTCATCTCATGCCTGCAGATCTCTGCGTGGAGTCTGGTTCCTGAGAAATCCACCTAAGTGTGTAGGTTGCACATATTTGCCCTAGTTTTATTTACTATTATAGTGGATACTGCAGGATCCGCCCAATCCCCCTCTGCTGGGATCGTCTGCTATTTATTCCCCAGCTGTTGACTGCTCCAAACAAAGCCCTCTCCTGGAATTTACCTTGGTCTCAGGGAACTCTCTCCTGCCAGAAGGCAGCCTGTGGCCAGTAACCAGCTGGTACAGGGAAGCAGGAGCCAGGCCCACGCCCCCATTAGGACAGTCTTGCGTGGCCCTCCAGCTCCAGGCTCCCTGGGCTCAGCGTTAGTAACAGCTGAAACGCAATGCTGGTAGATTCCGTGCCTGCTCACTCCTTCAGCCCTCCCTCCTAAGCCCTTCCCAGTAAACCTTATGCACAAGGTTCCCCATCTCAGAGCCTGCCTCATGGAACCCAAGATAACATAGTCATGGCTTTGATTTTTAGCCATTTTAAATCTTTCAATTCAAATCTAACAGTCATTTTTTGCAGGGGAGGGTGCTACCTCTTGGAATCATGTATTGACGATCCTACAGTCCTGTGCTTGTATTAGCAGCCACTGCTACTACTTTTGTGCCTTTTTCACACAGCAATCTAAACCTGGAAATCATTTTGTTCTGTGATATGTAAGTTCTTAGGTAGCCACTATTTTAAACATGTGTATTCCTTTTTTGTGATAAAAATGCAGATAATATAAGATTTACACATTAACCATTTTAAAGCATACAACTCAAATGCATTAAATTCATTAGTAACTGTTATGAAGTGATCCCATTATAATCATCTCCACAACTTTTTCATCGTCACAAACTAAAATTCTGCACCTGTTCAACACTTCTTTCTCCCTTCCTCCAGCTCCTGGTAACCACTATTCTACTTTTAGTTTCCATGAATCTTCTTATACCAGGTACGTCATATAATTAGAATTTTGGAGAAACTGCCACACTTTTTCCCACAGTGCCTGTGCCACTGTGCCAATTTACTTCTAACAATGCAAGTAAGTTCCAGTTTCTCCACATCCTCAGCAATTCCATGGTGTTTTGATCTACAGCTCACTAATGATGCAACGATATTGAGCATCTCTTCATGGACTTATTGGCAATTTGTCAGTCTGCTTTGGAAAAATGTCTATTAAAGGCCTTTGTCCATCTTTAACTGAGTTGTTTTAATATTTTAACATTTTTAATGTGAGAAACTAGTTGAAAAACTTTGCCTTTTGTTGAAAAACTTAAGGTTTTCATGATCATCTCATATATTTTAAATTATTGTATTTATTTGGGCATGCTTTTGGAAGTTCTTTTCTGCTTCACTGATGTCTTTCATTTTGGTTATAGAGAACACTGTTTTGATTAATATCTTTTATAAATCATCCTAACTGCTGATTTTTTTAAATTTTAGGCTGGCTTAATTTAGTTTAGGAAGAAGGAAGAATATTAATACTATAAACCTTAATACTTAACATATTATTGAGTCACCATTACACAAATACGTGTGCAGCAGTCTTTCTGAGATCCGACAATTTAGAACAGACTGGGGCTGCTAAAATCTGGGACCTGGTACACATAATCCAGTAAGTATGCAGGTGCAAGAAACCATAAATTCTTTCACGGGAAACCAAGTCCAAGCAGTCAGGAAAAGCTTCCTAGAGAAGGTGACATGTGAGTGGGGATCTCAGCTAGGTAGAACCAATAGGTAGAACTCAACTAGGAGAACTAAGCAAATGCCTGAGGCAGGGCTGGGGATGCAGTTCAGGCAAGAGCAGCACGCTAGCCTGCCAGCTTGCATACATGTGGTCTCCAGATGGAACAAACCAGGGCAGAAGGCCAGGGTCAGACAGGCAAGAACCTAAGGGCCACCTGAAGGATTCTGTACTTTCTCCTAAGAGTACTGGGATGTCATCAAAGGCTTTTTTTTTTTTTTTTTAATTGCGATATACAGGCCAGGGATTTAGCTCAGTGGCACCTCGCAAGCACAAGGTCCTGAGTTTGATCCCCAGTACCAAATAAATAAATAAATAACAATTGAGATATTCTTTACACATCTTATAGTCACCCTTTGCAAAGTGCACATTTCAATGATTTTGAGTATATTCACACATAAATGTAACCGTTACCATAGTCAATACTAGAACACTTTCATCACCTCTAAAAGCAATCCCACATGTCACTTCATAACGATTAAAATGGATACTATCAAAACACAGAAAACAACGCTTGTGAGGAAGTGGAGAAATATGGACCCCATGAATATAAAATGGTACAGCCACTCTAAAAAACAATATGGTGATTCCTTAACAATTAAACCTAGAGTTATCCTGTGGCCCAGCAATTTCACTTCCGGGTATATACCTTAAAGAGCTGAAAGCAGGGTTTCAGAGAGGTATTTGTACACCCACACTCACAGAAAGATTATTCACAATAGCTGAAATGTAGACATCACCCAAGTGTCCATTCACAGATGAAAGGATAGCAAAATGGATATTATTTAGCCCTAAAAAAAAAAAGGAGATCCTGACACTTGCTATAACATGGATGAACCTTGAAAATTTATTGCTCAGTGAAAATCCAAGTTACAAAAAGACAAATCTGTATGATCCCACGTATACTGGTGGTGGTGGAGTGGGGGGGTACCTTAAGTGGTCAAACTCATAAAGACAGAAAGCAAAGTGGTGTTTACCAGAGGTTAGGGGAGGGATGTGGAAAGTCATGGGTTAACAGGCAAAGGGCTTCAGTTTCGTAAGATGAAAAGATTTATGGAAAAGGATGGTGGTGACAGTTGTACAACATTATGACTGTACAGCATTATGACTGACATTATGACTGCATTTGATACCACTGTGCTGTACATTTTAAAATAGTTGAGGTAGTTCACAGTGTTGAGCAACGAATCTCCAGAACTTTTTCATATTTGCGAAATTGAATTTCTATACCCACTAAACAACTGTGCATGTCCCCATGCCCCAACCCTGGTAACCGCCATTATATTTTCTTTCTCTGTGAACCTGACAGCTCTAGATACCTCCTAGAAGTGGAGTCATATAGTATTTGTCCTTCTTTTGTGACTGGCTTATTTCACTTAGCACAATGCCCTCATCCATGTTCTAGGATGTGAGAACTCCTTCTTTTTGAGGAAGTATCTTTTTACCGCCCAGCACAAAGCATAGGTCCAACCAAACCACCGTGTTCTCCAACACCAGACTCTAATTCTCCTTCAGATTCAGCTTCTCAGGGTCCTTCTGAGTTGGCGCTCCCTCTGCCAGATGGGCTCAGCATTATGCTGATACTCTGCTTACCCAAACGTATGATCCAAACATATGACCTTGATGCCCTCAGCATCTTTCTAACGGACAGAATATCTCTCAGGCAAATCAAAAGACAAGGGAGATAAGGGCTTTCATCTAACTTTTCTATTTGTAGCTTCATATTTCTTTAATTAAATTATCTCTTGATTAAAATTAAACACTTTTTCTTGAAAACCAATGTGAAGTTTTGAATAAAGCTTGATATTCCTTACAACAACACA